ATGGAGCTGTGAGGGGTCCAGAGCACAAGGCTGAGGAAATGGGATGGTTCAGTCTGGAGAAAAGGAGCTCAGGGGAAAACATTACTCTCAATACCTCCCTGGAAGGAGGCTGTGGCGAGGTGGGGGTCAGCCTCTGCTCCCATGTAACTAGTGATAGGACAAGAGAGAATGCCTCAAGTTGCAGAAAGAGAAGTCCAGTTTGAGTATGTTGAAAATATCCAAACAATTTACCAGGACGATATCTCTGATAAAGCAAATTTTATTTGCAATTGCAATGGCAGCCCCCCCTGCAAACAGGAGAGCACACAGAAAACAGCATTACATCTCTTGTGCCCTATTACTTGACGCTTATCTCTTTCTCCCCTGGTTCCTCACTGGCTGAGTACTGCAGGTTCACAATCTTCCCGACGCTCAACTAAACATATGGATACTGGCTAAACATAAACCTTTGCTGGCTAAGCATAAACCTCTAATTATTTAATTAAATTCTAACACTTACTCACTCCACACTTGGTCGTTGTTTCTGGACATCTGATTGTCCTTCCTTGCATAGGGATAAGCTTAGAAGGAGGACAGAGGGGAGCATCTTGATGCCTGCCTGTTGCAACCCAACCTTCCCACAGAGTGAGACAGTCCGGCCTTGTGTAGAGGCCCTAGCTTCTCTGATGTTTATTAAATCTGTTTTTCTTTTGCTGGGAGTTTCTTATCCTAACAAAACAACCCTACAATACGTTCTCTAGTCCCTAACACTATACCCACAATGTTTGGAACATTTAAAAACTATTGCAGTTTTGCAAGAAAGAATTAATCACATTTTGCACGAAAGAATTAATCACGTAATTCAGCAGTTATGTTGCTAAAACATGTTGCTAACTTATACAGTATTCCTACTTTTTACATCAACTATTTCTAAGGATAAGTTACAGAATACAAATACATTATGTTCTACTTCTTCAAAACAATTGCCCTTTTTAAGATCTAATGCAGAAACAACATTGCATTCCCACAAGTAATAGGAAAAACTTCTTCTCTGAAAGAGCGTTCAGGCATTGGAATGGGCTGGAGGCGGACATGGCAATGCCCAGATGGACGCGGGCTGGCTGGAGTCCAAGTCTGGAGCCCCTAGAAAAACAAAAAAAAAAACAGGGAGCTGTTGTAGAGGATCCAGAAGAGCCACAGAGATGATAAGGGGGCTGGAGCACCTCCCCTACGAAGACAGGCTGAGGGAGCTGGGCTTGTTCAGCCTGCAGAAAAGAAGGCTGCAGGGTGAATCATTGCAGCCTTCAGTACCTAAAGGGAGCCTACAAACAGGAGGGGAATCAACTCTTTGAAAGGGTAGATAACAGCAGGACGAGGGGAAATGGCTTTAAGCTGAGGGAGGGGAGATTGAGGTTGGATGTCAGGGGGAAGTTCTTTACTAAGAGCGGTGAGGTGCTGGAACAGCTGCCCAGAGAGGCTGTGGATGCCCCGTCCATCCCTGGAGGTGTTCAATCCAGGTTGGATGGGGCCCTGGGCTGGTATGAAATGTGGAGGTTGGTGGCCCTGCGTGTGGTGGGGGGTTGGAGCTTCGTGATCCCTGAGGTCCCTTCCAACCCCACCCATTCCGTGATTCTGCGATTCCGTGACACGCAGCTCCCAGCCGGTGCCTTTAAGGCGCCCGACCCGCTGCTCCCTCCCCCTCCCTCCCCGTGACGTCATCACTGCTCGCCACACGGAGGCTCTTCCCGCCCGCGCTGCGCCAATCGCGCGCGACGGGGTCGGAGTGGTGATTGCAGAGGGCGCCGAGGATGTGAGTGGGGCGGGTGCTGGTTGTCGGCGCGGGCATCGGTCGCCATCCGCCCGGCTGACGTTCGGTGCGGCCTCGCCGCCGCTCGGTGCTGCTCAGGGGAGCGGGCGGGAGCCGACGGGGGGGTTATGGAGGGAGATGAGAGACAGGGATGGCGCCGCGGCCTACCGCGGCCGGGGGCGGGGAGGAAGGCGGGAGGCCGGGCCGGGGCGGAGCCGGGCCTGAGGCCTGGAGCGGAGCTGGGGCCGGGGGTCCCGCCGCCCAGCAGCGGGCGGGCGGCGTTGAGGGGGCCTGCCGATTAGGGTCAGTCTTAAATCACGCGAGGGAAACTTTCCTATGCTTGGCAAACGAGGGCCTACAAGCAAGCTGCCGTTGCAGGACGCGCCTGCCGTCAGGAAGGCCGAGGGAGAGCCGAGGTCGTTGCCTTGGCTGCAGCTCTCTACGAGCATAGGTCTCCTCAGAGCTCACTGTGTGCAGGGAATGGCCGGCCTGTTAGAGTGCTCTGAGACCGGCTGTGCTGGGCTGGATGCTCCACGAAAGCTGAGACGTTGGGGGGTATCCGGGTTTGTTTCCATTTTAGGAAGGGCAGGTGTTGCTTAGCAATGCCTTGTGTTGTTAATGCGCTCACGCCGCAGTGTTATTCTTCGTGGAGGTGTGTTCCAGTGAACGCCTGAGCGTTCATGTGACAGTGCCCAGAGGCTGCGTCTCCCAGGCTGAGGTTTCCAACTGAAACTTTCTTGGGAAAGGTGTATTTTAATTGGATGAAAGAAAAACACTGGTTAGCCTAAGGGCTGCCAGAGAGCTGCCTTTGACAGAAGTTTGCTGGATGTGTAAGCATCGTTTGGCTGTTGTGTCTGGTAAGTGCCAGCCCTGTGGGTGCACAGAGGAGTGGTGCTGGTGGCAGCTGTTTACATACAGTACTTCCCAGCACTCCAGCAGCAGGCAGGGTAATGGCAAAGCACTTGTTGGTCTTCTGAGCTTTCACTTCCCATCTTGCAGCAAGGTGCAGCTGGAGCTGGCTGCCATTGGGAAATGGCTTTTGAGCTTGTGGTGTCCTGGCTGCAATGGTGTGAGAGGATTTGGTGTGTAGGGAGAAATAAAACAAGCCTGAGTGGTGTACTCAGGAGAAGAGGGCCAGGAAATGAAAATGTCAGCTGCTTTGGTCCAGAACTTGGCTGCTCTTTGGAGTAGGTCAGCTGGTCTGACACGGGGACTTTTTCTAAGCTGTGGGTCTGTCATTTTTCTTACTAGAATCAGTGAGCTGCTTAGGGAAAAACTGTGAAGCTGAAAATCAGGAACGTGCATTCAGCTCTTCAGTAACGATCTCTTCCCAAACGTGAGTGTCACTGCAGTGTAGAGAATCAAGTTAGTGATGGTCAGAACCAGAAACCAGAAGCAGCAAAACCTTGTTAGCTAATTTTGCCTTTGATGCAGCTGTTGGTGCACCAGCATCATGCAGTATGATGACCATGTAATGCCTCTGCTGATGATGCTGGCAGTTCACAGACATGCTCATCCCCATTCTGTATAAACTGGAGGGAGAATGGCTGTTTACATGGGTGAATAGCAATAGGACAAGGGGGAATGGTTTTAAACTTGAGACAAGGGAGGTTTAGGTTGGATATTAGGAGGAAGTTTTTCACTCAGAGGGTGGTGAGGCACTGGAACAGGTTGCCCAAGGAGGCTGTGGATGCCCCATCCCTGCAGGCATTCAAGGCCAGGCTGGATGTGGCTCTGGGCAGCCTGGTCTGCTGGTTGGCGACCTGCACACAGCAGGGGGTTGGCACTGGATGGGCATTGTGCTCCTTTTCAACCCAGGCCATTCTATGATTCTTTGTTTCCCAGATGTTTCTTGTGTGGATAGATAATAGGTTTCACACCAACACGTATCTGCCAAATTCTTTTCAAGGTTATTAAAATATATATGTGGAGGCAGCTTTCTGATCCAGGTAGAATAAGCAAAATGCAGCAGCATGTTTAGATGTCACAGAGTATGTGATAGATGCAGCCCTCTTGTAGAAAATGTTTGAAGTTGAGTCCTCAGAGTTCAGGTTCTACATGTAAGCAGTTAATGCGTACATGTGCAGCACACTAGCATACATATTCATTCTTTTCCAAGAAGTCATGAATGTGTGCTCATGTTCCCCTGGACACATGCAGTTGCATTGTGGGTGGTTATATGCCCACTTAGTTTATCCCCATTTTTCCACCACCAGCTTCATCACAGAGACTTTGGGTTGACCTGTAGCTGTTTTTCCCCAATTTGGCAAGCTTCCATCGCTTCTTAGGCTATAATGAGCAACACAACGTGTGTGAAAACCCAAGGAAAAGCATCCTTGTGCCTGGTGAAATCCAGAGATCAGTAGTGTGTCTTGACTCCAGTGCTGTTTGTAAAGTGGAATTAAGAGAAAACAAGGCTGATCACACACCAAGCAAAGCAGAAATGGAAAGTTTTAGGACTAGTGCTCACTGATTCCTTTTGCTAAACTAATATATTGCTCCTCAAACTAATATGCTGATCTCTGTTGCTAAACAAACCAGCCTATATCATTACTCAGCAGCCACCTCTTCCTGCCTAGCATTTGTTCTGCGGCACAGAGTGACTTTGGAGGAAAGCAGAGCTTGCTCCTGTAGAGATGAGGATGTTGTCGAGAGGCAGGAGCTGCATGTGTGTCTGTGTAGGAGATGGACGTCCTCTGTGTGCCTTCCAGGGGGGAGTTGAGCAAGGATCC